AGAAAAAGAACTAATTACCAGTAGCATCTGAAAGATGAACAAAAAATACTCGGAAGTAAGTGGTATCAGTGTTTAATAGCCAATATGAAATTTAAGTACGTGCACAATGTAGAAGCAAAAGAAGAAATTTGATATTTCCCACAAAAGCAAGAAGGATTTAATCAACTAAAATACGGCTTTTTTTTTAATTGCCACATTTGTTTTATCACTACTACTGATTTAAATCATTGGAATGTGAAAATAATAAGAACAAGTCATTGTGTTAACTGTTGTGTCTTCAATGCCTAGAAGAGTGCCTGAGCAAATATTCAAAAACAGATTTGGTTGACAAATAAATGCATCACATTTATTATCTGAGGATTAGGCACCATAATCTTTTTACTACTTAGGGTACCTAGATAATCGCAATCCAGGCCTGGCCACCAAAATACACTGTACTCCATTTCAAGCCTCAATTTTAAAAAAAAATCTGAAATGGTCCTCTTTTTTATTTAAAAAATTAACAGTTATGTAGGTGAAAAATAATTCCAGTTTTAATGGTCCTTATTCAATAGTATTTCCATCTTTGTTCTTTTACAAGTTAAGCATTAGGCCTTACAGAGACATGAACCAGAAAGATGTGAAGTTGATAAAATGTGAAGTTGATATGTTCATTCCTGCCATGGATCAAGCATAGTATGATCATCTTTAAAGAAAAGAAATTTAAGTTACAAGGTGCTGAGGCAGTAAGGAATTGTGGGAAGAAGGGAGAAGGACAAAGAGGCAGGAGATTTTTAATCATAGGCTTTAATTTAAATCAGAAATTTCTGCTGAGAATTCCTTTGATAATTGCTTTTAATTTCTCTATCATTTGTCTTTTATGTTTTTAGCTATGTTCATTATGGGTAAGATTTTAAATTTAAAATAATTGTGCATACTGAATTCTCTATTGTTTCAATTTTCATTTCATTACATTCCTTTAATATTATAATGAACAATGTATTCTGATGCATCCAGTTATTAAGGAACACTTGACTAGTCAAATACAACTTTAGAAACCTTAGGTTCTATTATTTTGGTGTTCTATTTTAATGCATTCTTATAGCTTTTTATTGTTTTTATTATACCAGTTTTCAGATCTAATTAATTCTGCCAGCACAATAGCTTGTTAAAATGCTTTGAGAGAGTAAACAGTAGAAATGTATGCTGTATATATATATACACAAATTGTTTGATTATTTTAAGTGAAGTGATTGGATGTTAATTGCTTGCAATGGGTAAATTCATTCAAAACAGTTAAGTCTTCTGTGTGTATTAAAAAACTACAAAATCAAAATAACAATATTGGAAGCTCCATATGATGCTACTCCCTTCCTAAAAATATTTAGCAACAAGCAATGTATTTTATATTGTACTCAGAAGGATTGTAATCCAATTTCTAGTTTAAAAAAAAAAAAATCAGGCCTGGTGGTGTCTCACATCTGTAATCCCAGTGCTTTTGGAGGTCAAGATGGAAAAATTGCTTGAGGCCAGGAGTTCAAGACTAGCCTGGGCAACGTAGTGAGACCCCATCTCTACAATTTTTTTAAAAATAGCAATGCATAGTGGCATGCACCTGTCGTCCCAGCTACTTGGGAGGTTAAGTGGGAGGATTTGTTGAGCCCAGAAGTTTGAGACTTCAGTGAGTTACGATCGTACCACTGTACTCCAGACTGGGCAACAGAGCAAGACTTCATCTAAAAGAAAATCAAAAAACAACAGAAAATCATGGTTTATTTCTAGATAATTTATTGATATTGGTTATCTACTGCATTAGGATATGAGTTCAGTCTAAATTTAAAATGGCTTATACAAGATAGACATAATTATGTAGGCTGATACAGTAGGTCTTCTGTTTAAAAATTACCAGGTATCTAGGCTCCTTATTGTTGTTTCTTTCTACCAACCCTAAAGTGTCACACCTTTCCTTTGAAAGCATTAGCTGGAAGTTGTACACATTACTTTCATTTATACTCCCATGAACAGACCTTGATCATATGGCTACACCTAGTTCTAAGGGAGGCTGCCAAGTAGTCTATATGCGGAACAGCCATGGCCCAAATAAAGATTGTGAGAATAAGGAGCAATCTCTGCCATAAGAAATGAATGCAATAAAAGCTCACAAATGTATACAATTAAATTCCATTTAAAAGTCCATTTCATATCTACATAATTAAGAATTTAGAGCCTCTATGTTAAGGGGTCATAACTGAATTCCAAAAGGGAAGTAATAGAGAACATTTGAAATTTTTTCAATATGACTTTGAATATTTTACAAAGTAATACAAGTTCAGTGGAGCCAAACTTTACTGGAACATGCTACACACAAAATTTATCATTGAAAAACAGAGGTTTCATTTACTTACACTCTTTCCTGTGTTGGGCATTGATGATCACCCAGTATTCTTTCTTCCTTTTTGCTCTTCCTTTTCCTAAATAACTCCAAATTAATTCACCTATGCACATGAGAAGCCCTCCCCCCACACACACACACACACTGGGCAAACACAAAGCCATCTCACATGTCAAAGAAACCAGCCTTTTATAAACTGTTGTTGTAGGCAGCAGAGTAGAGAGACTGAAAGAACTGGAATACTCGATGACAAGGTTAAGCTGCTGAATCAGCTCACCTTGATGCCATCTCTGGAAGATAATAAATTTTCAATCACTTGCTTCACAAACATGCTAACTGATATGTACTTTTCTAGATAACTTTTTTCATTACTTTCAGGAATACTGAGCAATATGACTTCTAGAGTTCAGATAAGCTAGATTTACAACTCTGAAATGCAAAATTTTCAAAAAAAAAAATCAAAATTTCATGAAACAATCCCATATACATTTTGAATGAGTTTGGATGAGACTAACATGATACAACTTAAGTTTAAGATTAAACAAATCAAAATATTTTAATTTTTAAAATATTGGTTTCATTAAGAATTCACTAAAACCCATGTAATTCCTCATCTAATAATGTAACAGTGTGACTCTCTGAAGTTCAATTGAGTACAAAATCAATGGCAGATGCTTGCTTTTTCAGCCCTAGGGAACTGTTTTCCTGCTAATGTGTGTCTACTAACATATTTTTAAGACTTTTTTTTCTTTTTGCAGCAGCAGCAGCAGCAGCAGCAGTAGCAGCAGGCTTATCTTTTCCATAAGAAGAATCCCGGAAGCTTATCTATCTTCACCAGGGCAGAAGTACTGCATTTTTCAAATGGAACTTCAAATGTTCTCACTTTGCAACAGAAATTGTTCTTAAAAGGTCTTGGAATAGATAGATTATATTGTAAACAAGCAGTTATTTCCCTCAATTAAAGAAGAAACTATTGTACACTATTTGACTGATTTTTTCCTCAACTTTCTTCCTTTCATTTCATTATTATTCTTGATTTGATTATAATTTATTATATTTTATATCTCAAGACATAAAAATTGTCAGTGTTAAGTTTTTAAAAGCAGTAAAAGGGAAAGATGTTTAAAACCTCTGAATAAAAAAATGAAGTAATATTAATGTGATTCAATGTCAATTGCTTGAATAAAACAGATGATTCAATCATTTCTAAACGAAATATATTTTGAGTTAAAATAATTCTAATAGAAAAAAAGAAGGCCTCCTACAGGAATGTATAGAGACATGTATTGGCTACTTATAATTTCATGAAGTACATACAGAGTATTTCTCAACTCACGGCAATTCATCAGAAATGGGTTCCCTACATATTAAATACTAAATGCAAAAAAAGCATTGATACATTCTATTTAATAAAACAAAGGCTAGCAAATCATACAAATGATTGAAACAAACAAAAAGTTGATATTACAGCTTTTCATTTCACAAAGCATAAAGAAATAGAAATTGCAGATGATAAATGACAAAATTATGCATCTTGTTTGAACATATGGAAAGGTTAACTTTTTCTTTATTAAACTTGTAAATAAATAAAGACTATTAATACATTCCAAATAAATTAGTAGTGTTTTCCAAAATCATCACAATAAGATACCAATAATAAGCAGTTGGTTAAAAGCATAAAACCAGAATGCCAGGGTTTAAGCCTTGGCTCTACCATGTATTAACTGTGCGCCTTTAGTCAAATTAATGAACTTTTCTAGACCTCAGTTTCCTCACCTGCAAGATCGAATGATGATAATAAGAGTAGATAGTTCATGGGGCTGTTATGAGGATTAAAGAATACATATAGGTAAGTATGTAGAACACTGTATGTGCTCAAAAAATTATTAGTAACTTCATATGCATAAAAATTTTTAAATTCACTCTCTCTGTATAACAATGGTCAATTAAAAGCATACTTCCATGTTTTTGTTTCAACTTTTAACAGTCATACCAATATATAATGATAAACAATTCTTTTAGAATGACTGTTAAAAATAAAATTTAAAACTTCAGTCTGTTCTTACCTGTCTAAATGTTTATTTCTCCAGCTCTACGTTTTTAAAATAATGACTACACTAGTGATATTCATGAAGTGTAAATGCAGTTCAACTAGGTGAAAATCTTTTTTAATACATTCATTACATTTATTTATTTTTATTTTTATTTTTTTTGAGACGGAGTCTCGCTGTGTCACCCAGGCTGGAGTGCAGTGGCGCGATCTCGGCTCACTGCAAGCTCCGCCTCCCGGGTTTACGCCATTCTCCTGCCTCAGCCTCCGAGTAGCTGGGACTACAGGCGCCCGCCACCACGCCCGGCTAGTTTTTTGTATTTTTAGTAGAGACAGGGTTTCACCATGTTAGCCAGGATGGTCTCGATCTCCTGACTTCGTGATCCACCCGCCTCGGCCTCCCAAAGTACTGGGATTACAGGCTTGAGCCACCGCGCCCGGCCTTCATTATATTTAATATATGTGAACCACTTACTTTGCACTTCATAAAAAACTAATGTTTACTATTTTCAACCAGTATATGGGTCAGATTGTTTTTAGACAACTATTTCTCTTTGACTTAAATAAACAGAGAATTCATTTGCATTTGTGATTTAATTACATTTATTCTGCTCCCAAAATTATAAGTATTAAGTTGCTACAGTATGTCCACACGAGATATTTTACAACCCATTTGGAACTCAAATATTTTTTCATAATCAACAAACATTTACTGCATGCCAGTCAGATTTAGGACATCTCTTGGGCTCCAATCAAATTATACAAAGAACTTAGAACTGAAAGAACCTCAGGACATGCTGGACAACTCTCTTCTTGCATAGGTGAAGAAACTGATGTACACAAAATGACTTACATGCAGAGAAGAAGAGCCAAGATTACTGAATTTAGTCAGGGAGGTAATTCATATTTCAGGCAAATGCTTGATGTTTTCAGGGTCCCTGTCTTTAAGTTATGGCCAAGTTACTAGAAAACTGGCTTCTCTGTAGAACAGTTAATAGATTTGATTTTAAAGGCATTGCTATGGCCTTTTATAAAGTTGTATTGAAACCTGCAGAAGGTCATGTCTTCAATTCCACTAAAGATACAGCACTATTAATAGACAAAAAAAGAAAATTGGTGATATCCATAGCCCTATCTAAAGTTTGTGATTGAATTATTATGTTATCCTGATTAAAAAAAAATTGCTCTCCTTTGGTCAATCTGCCCCAGCTATTATCTGAGAACATCTAATCAAAAAGTGCTGGGCGACATGTTCTAACAAGAAAAGATGCAGTTGTGAGTTATTAGTTGTTGGTTGACCCTTTATTTACAATAAGGAAAAAAAAAAAACAAACTGCAATAAGATATTCTTTACAATAAGATAACCTTGAATTCAGGCATATTTCTTGGGACACTGGCAATTTTAAACTTTTAATCAATAAGGATATTTGTATAATCTATCTTCATTTTACCTTATGCTCAATGACAATTAGGGAACAATCTTTTCATAAGAGCAAAGACTTACCATTCTACCTAATGAAATAACTGTGTGAATGTCAAACCCTAGAATTCTATAGGAAACTTTACTTTTTTTTTGTATTCCTTTTTTAACTAAAATTTCTGATTAATTGCCTTAATCTCCAATTCTCTTTATTGATATAAATTCAACCACAGAGTAAGCCGGAATTTAGGAGCACTTAAAATGAAGAGAATTTCCATGCCTCCCTGACTCCAATTTGACAAAATGGGTTTCTTTCTTTTGCTATTTCTTAAGATCTATTTATATCAATCCAATTATTAAAAATAGCATGGACACTTAAATACAAATTTGGCAAAATATTGATATTCAAATAATCTTAATATGAACACAATAATTTGTTGCTCTCTCTTCTTTTGCCACACTAGAAAGACAGTATACCATTCCCATATCTCACAGAACATTTTAAATATTAAGCTCTCTGGTGCAAAAAAAGAGGTAAACAATATCATTGGTGGTAACAATTCAGATTCTAGTTTTAATGAGTATCAATGTCAAATGTGAACAAAATAATAGAAGGAAAGTGGAGTTTAAGACAGGATGTGGAGTTCATTCCTCTGAACACGAAATAAGAGGAGTCTAAGGAGGACCCAGAGCAGTAGGAAACTTGCTGCTTATTCCTGACAGAATTCCTGAAGGAAAGACCCTGAAATTGAAGAGAAGAATGTCTGTGTGGTCCAACTGAGAAGGTTAGACTAAAGGCCGAAATCAGCCAAACTGAGTTTATTGCTGGGTTGACCATTGTTCTTTGGCCTAAGAATAACACAGAAGCAGCATTAAGCCGATAGACCTGAAGAAGCCATTCTCGGTGGTATTTAGTATTGATAGACGATTAATGGCTTGAAATTCTCCTACCTCTAAACCATGGCACAATCCTCATTGAGGCTTGGGAAGAAGTTTTGTTTCATCATTTACTGGGTGTTCAGGCTGTGCTGCAGGACAGAATATTGTTAAAAGGCAGGTAAATGCCACCTAGGGGGGAAAAAAATGTATGATTCAAGGTCACTGAGAAAAGACAACACACACACACCAGGCTCAAGAAGTGCAGCATCTACTCACAGTAAGAGAGGAAAGAGTGCACTAAATCCATCCCCTTGTAATGCATCTGTCTCTCACAGCTAGTGGACTATGCCACAGCAGTGTGGCTTTATATACTCCACTTGGTGCTGCAGTGGAGGGAACTCGACCTCTCCTCTATGGTATCTGAAAAAAAATTGTGGAGAGAGGACATGCCTGAGGACTATTGAAACACCCACTTAAGCAGAACAAAGAACTACACATTGAGTCTGAAACAGCAAAACATATTCCCACATAAGGCCATAAGCCCCGTACTTCCTGTGTGGGCCCCCTTACCTACTGGTAAGGAAGGGTTCCACGCCCATTCTTATGTGGCCCAGTGGGAGTGAAAAGACTACACACAGGAGAATGTCTTTCCCAATGTGCTTCAAAAAGCATAGCTATATTATGACATCATCAATTTAGCTCTTCTGAATAAATTTGATGTCTCCTGCTGAAGTTGAAACCTAAACACACATTTGGAGATAGCTGAAGCCAATAACGAAATAGTTTCCCTCTCTAGTGTTTTTATTCTGGTATTTGATTTTGCTCCTTCTTCTTTACAATCAGCTTCCCCGATTAAAATTTAAAATCCATTCTATTTTCCTAAATATCTTTAACCAGTGTCTGTTCAAAGTGCATGACTAACATTTATTTAAATGTGATGACCATCTACTTCTATTTTACTTCTTTCACAAATTTCTTGACATCTTCACTGCTTTTACTTCCATTACTTTTACAGTCACTTTTACTTCTCGCTACTTCTCCTTGACATTCTGAAATCTGCTTCAGTTGATGTCGATGGAAACTAATATGTCAAAAAAGATGTATTTGTACAAAAAGGCCACTGATTATATACACCCACATATCCTAAGAATGTTTTGCTTCTTATCAATGACTCTTTATAACTGTCTCTTTTCCTCATTCTTCCTTCATCATCCTGTTTCTGCTAACCTGTTGATTTTCAAAATGTGTGTGGACACACACAGCTATACACCTACACACACAAACACACACAGCTGTGTACCCACACATACACAAACACACACATTGAACCAGTTTGCCCATTTTGACTTAGTGATTTACTGTGACTATTTTTATAGAAAAAAATATTCAAGATCAACTGTGAATCATAAGTCTCTAAACTTATAACATAGGTTCACAAGCTCACATAATTTTATAGCCAGTCTATGCTAATTGCTTGATAGACTGAATTCAGAAAATAAATGGTTTAAATGCTGGTAATTTAAAAATAGTTTTTGCTACTTTATTCCAGGCTATAATGATTATTTGGAGGGCCTACCTATGCTGGTGGCAGTTACTAGTTATCAATAATTAAGCCCCTTTGGGCTATAAGGGATTAACCACTTCTTAACTTCCTCTTAATCATTTATCTTGAACTCTCTTGCTCTACCTCTCCTTTGAGAAAAAAAAAAAGTTCTCTTTCTATCACAGAGCAATATTAATCACACAGGAATAGAAAATCTTCTCATTAAAGCTCTGAAGCTCATTAGAGAAGTTTAAGTTATTCTAACAGTTCTGTGATATTGTTGTATCCATGTAACGAAGAGCGCTGACTTCCTTGCCAGTCAATTGTCTTGTAGGAGCTGACCTAAAAACTGAAGTACATGTCCTATGCTGTGTGGAAGATAGAGTTTTAGCTGATTTTATTAAAGCAAATAATTAAAAATGTATCTGCCAAAATACTATTCTTCTCTTAGTGCCATTACATTAGCACATGCTTGTAAGCATGTTACAGATATGCTTTATTTTAATACAAGTGATGTGTTTCTGAAAAGTCGGGGGATGGAACTCATCTGAAGTACAGAGATTTCAGACTAAAGGAAATCTATGCAAAATACTTTGTCAACTGAAGCATCATGAGGTAAACAGCTATCCCTTAATGTATGTTTTCTTGTAAAAATCATTGTGGTAGCACAAAAATAATAATATTCTACAAAGCTGAAAAAATATCAGCAAGACACAATCTAGAATGTCAGAAAGGAAAGGAAGAAAGCAAAAAGGCAGAAGAAATAGGACACACAGACTTGGCAATGTAAGGATGGGGACAGGGGAAAGACAGAAACTCACCTTCAGAAAGCAAGCCCACCTAAAACTGATTAGCAAGGAATTTTGGAAATCATCTGAAGCAATGGTGAGCAATGACAGATGCCATTTAAAAAAGGAAAAAAGACTCCTATGTTACCTACAAAGTAGAATGTTTACAAATGAAAGATTTCCTCTCTTATGCAGTCCCTGAAGTAGAAAAGGTATTCATGAAGCTGAGTATCAATTTTAAAGTTGTAGGTCTCTCAAACTAAATAGTAAATAGTATGACAAATGTTACTCATTTTTTACGTTCCATGGGAACTGCTGGATTAAAGAAGCTAAACAAGTGTAATTTTCCACAAGCTTTTACTTTTCAGAGTTTAAGTATGTTAGCATATATGGTGAATTTTCAACAGAAAGATAAAGCATTTCCCAAATGTAAACCACATAAATTTTTGCTAAAATTATTTCCAGGTATTAAAGATCAAAGCATCAAAAAGTACAAACAAAAATTGTACCTAAATATAAATTAAAATGATATGAAGCATAATGACATTAGGACAGCAGAAATAATTCAGTATAACAACCTGATTACATGTAATTTAAAATACCAAGATTTTGAGTACTTGTGGGACTGGACATAAATAGCTAGTGTAGAATAAAATGTCTTTCTTGACAATGCTCTGGAGAGGAGACAAAAGGTGCTACGTGTCAACCAGAAAAAGCAATGGTCTTGATTACTTCATGGGTCTCAAAGCATTAAGAAACATGCAGACAAATTAAATCTATAAGGTTGTTTGATATCTTCAGATTAAAATCTATGGGAAGGTTATAGTCACAAGTTTCAATAAGCTAGAGCAGAAAAAATAATAGACAGAAAAGGCTTAAATCCCAAGATGTGCCAAACTTTTGTAGTTTGCTTGGCATATCCCAAATATCAGGTACTTTATAAAATTTTCTGCATTATTTATATGTATTACTGCTTCATAAAGCACAGTTCAGTATCATGATACATAAGCTGCATTATGAAAGCCTTAAACTTTTCAATTACCTAGACCAGATCAAATTTTAATGAACATGTGCCAATATGATTTGTGATGTTAAGCTAGACTTCTTGGTAAAAACCTAGGTTTTGACTTACACAAATAATGGATAGTAAATTTAAAAAAGGAAATTTGATAAGGAGGTAAGGGGTTCAGTTTTGACTCTGTTGGTCTGGAGGTGCCTGTGGGACATTAAGATGGGGATTTTCAGTAAGCAGTTGAATGTTCACATCTGAAATTCAAAAATAAGTTGTTCTAAAGGTAAATATTTGGAATTCATTAAGAATTTATGGTAATTGAAACAAAGGAAGTAGTGAAGACCAGTCAGATGGCCTGTTCAGGTGGGCAATATAGAGTGACATGAGAAGGCACTAAGACCAAAAAAAAAAAAAAAAAAAAGAAAAAACCTGAAGAAGAAAAACTTATTATTTAATTCTTAGTCAGAGAAAGATAACAATTCTGGCTCACGCCTGTAATCCCAGTACTATGGGAGGCCGAGGGGGTGGATCACAAGGTCAGGAGTTCAAGATCAGCCTGGCCAACATGGTGAAACCCCGTCTCTACTAAAAATACAAAAATTAGACAGACATGGTAGTGCAAGCCTGTAGTCCCCAATACTTGGGAGACTGAAGCAGGAGAACTGTTTGAACCCAGGAGGCAGAGGTTGCAGTGAGCTGAGATCATGCCACTGCACTCCAGCCTGGGCAACAGCGCAAGAATCCATCTTGAAAAAAAAAGAATGAATGAAAAATAAATAAATAAAAGAATTATTTATAGAATGATTACTTAAAGCAGCCAGGCATGGTGCCATGCACCTTTAGTTCCAGCTACTCAGGAGGCTTGAGGCGGGAGGATTGTTTGAGCCCAGCTTAGGCAACATAGCAAGACCCTATCTTTAAAAAAATGACTTAAAGCTTCTCTTATATGAAAGTGCAGCATATTACTGGCTTTCATTTCAAGTTCATTTTCTCAGTACTTGCAAATAACACAAACACGACATACACACACAGACACACACAAATGCAGACTTTATAGTTGTGGTTATGGTATAATAATATCATAATAGCAACAACTTTTATAGAATACATACCATGTGCCCAGCACTGTGCTGTTTTATATACAGTAAATGACTTAATCTTCTTAATAGCCTGTTCCAGTTATTTTTTACCATGTAATAAACTACTCCAAAACTTGGTGTCTTAAAACAACAACCATTATTTTATGATTAATGAAAGTGGGTCAAGAAATTGAGTTGGGTTAGAATGGGTGATACTAATTCTACACATGAAGTCAGATGAGATCACTAGATGCTGGTAGATCACATTCACCTGGTGGATGGGCTGTTATAAAGGATACCAGGAAGCTTAACACATGTGTCTCATGCCTTGCCTGGAATGGCCAAAAAGTTTAGCTCAGCTGGTAATGTTAACCAAAGAATCCACGCATGGATCTCCGGCAAGAGATCCCATGTCTCATGAGTCTCAGAGTAGTCAAACTTCTTATATAATGGCTAAAGGTTCAGAACAGTCACACTTCTATTGTGGCGGCTAAAGGCTCCAACAGAAAGATTTTTAAGAGCAGCATTCAAAAAGAGATCAGCAAAAGCTTCAGAGCTTCATATGATCTAGCCTCAAAAGTCTCACAGTATCACTTCCATTATAGTTTATTGGTTAAGAGTGTCACATATGCCAGCCCAGACTCAAAGGGATGAATATTAGACTCCATCTTTCAAAAGGAAGAGTCGCAAAGTATTTATAGCAATCTATAATCTACCACAGAGTTCTGTTAGGTATATGTGAATATTATCCCTTTTTATAGATAAGAAAACTGAGTCCACTGTGGTTAACAAATTGTCAAGGTCTGTTAGTCAATAGCTAAACCAGTATTTAAAGATGGCAATTCTAACCCCAGTGCCTTAGCTCTAAACTGCTGTTTTAGAAATGCTTGATTGTGCTCCATATTCAAGGAGCTATTTCATTTGTTAATCACTAGATTCAATGTAATTAGTAAAACTATAAAATATTTGATAACTTGAAAGATATAAAGTAATTTTTAAAAAATATTAATGTATATAGAGCACTCATAAACTTAGAGAAAATACAGGACTTACTAACACATAGCCCTCAAGAAGTTTATAATTTAGTGGATGGCATGAGAGGCAAAAACATACAAAATAATTAAAACATAGTGTGATGCAAGTGCTGTAAAATAATTATACAGGGTCAGAGATGGAAAATACCGGAATTAGCTCTAATCTTTACGGACTGTGCTCTCTGCCATGAATATCCTCACAGTTCACCACTCAGCCACACAAACCCTGCAAGATTCAACCTCAAATGCCATAACGTACGGGAGGCCTTCCTGAATTGCCAAACTGTGTACAAGCACTCTATCCTCTAAACCTCTATTGCACACCATTTACATTTATCTCAGGGTACTCCTTTACCACCTTATACACACTTGCCCTTGTCTAATCTCTTTTCTGTTCTCCAGCTCATTTGACTTACCTTTGACTCTTGTTTAGCCTGTAGCCTAAAGAAAAAGAATCAATAATTACTTACAAATTAAAATGACAAATGAATCTATTAAAGAGTTATTGGACATCTACTCAATATTTATTTACTGTCTACTATATGCAAGTACTAGAAAATAGCAACATTAGTAAAATGGCCAAGCGTTTACAGAGTTGACAATATAGTTATCTATTATATCTAAATCTAAACATTAAATTTCAAGGATTCACAGCATTAGAGTTACTGGTAGTCATGATAATTTATTAAATCGAATTTAAAGTGTAAAAAAATGTACCTAACACAATTTATTTATTTATTTTTTTTTAAGAGATAAAGTCTCACTCTGTTGCCCAGACTGGAGTGCAGTGGTGTGATCTCGGCTCACTGCAGCTTCTGCATCCCCAGTTGAAGCGATTCTCCTGCCTCAGTCTACTGAGTAGCTGGGACAACAGGCGTGCACCAGCACGCCCAGTTAATTTTTGTATTTTTAGTAGAGATGGGGTTTCACCATTTTGGCCAGGGTGGTTTCGATCTCTTGACCTCGTGATCATCCCACCTCCGCCTCCCAAAGTGCTGGGATTACAGGCGTGAGCCACCGCGACCGATCCCTAACGCAAATTTTTAAACTTCATTCTTTACAACCTACAAGGACCTAAACATTCAACTAATCTTACAAGCAGGGCCTATTTTTTGTCCAAATAGGGGTAAAGCTCTTCCCTCTTCATACAGCCACGTTGTTTGCAATTTTTTAAAAAGGTAGAACTGGTGAGTAGAAAACTAAGTAGTAGCTCAAGGGCTGAAAATTAATGATAACATTTGATTGCTAATAGCTTCAGAATATCAACAGTAGATCAATATCCTTATTAACACATGTAACTTAAATTCTATTTTACTTACTGTTTGAATTTATCACCACTACATTTTTTCATTAAACTACCATGAATGAAAAAAATAAATTTCCATTAAAATGTTTAGCACAGATTTGTAAAAATTAAATTTTACTATTTTCAATTCATGATGATTTTGTCGATGATGCTGTCCTTTATTTAAATGAACAACAGTAATTTTCTAATTTGAAATAAAAACGAAAATATTCAGGGAATGATGTACACCTTTTGCACATAATACATTTTTATAATGGTCATAAACAGCTCTATTTTTTCCTCCGTAAGTCAGCCAGAACTCAAAGTGACCCACAATGGAGAGAAAATTCACAAATTAAATTCATCTTTTAAACAAAAATCTTTTTGTGTTCATTTCCATAGTCAGAGGACCCTCTCACAGCCACCTCAAGCATTCTGCTAGCTCATTTTCAAAAACCTCAACAACAAATTCAACCAGAACAAAACATAAAATGATTATAAAATTTAAAAGGTTACTTTTTTCATAGATAATTGGGTTTTAGCCAGGTAAAGCCTTAAGCCAAGATAAAGAATTTCTAGTAGAGAAACAGACATCAGCTAGTGAGTGAGTATAGTAACAGGTGAAAAGAGGCTTTCTGGCTTTCTGGATCTACAAAACCCAGTATTGCATCAAAACATAAGTTTGGTCCTATTAGAAAATTAGAAAATAACCGCTATCCTACATGAAAGAACATTACTCTCTTACTTTTAACTATAGGGTATCTAATACTAAATTGTAGTTTAAGAATTATTCATTAACAATAAAGGCAGCTTCGTTTCATTTCCCTAGTAAACTTCCCTGTCAAAGTGATCTATACAGGTTATTTCAAAAGGGGACACTTTATAAACTATTTAGTAAGCAAAGCTTTTTGAACCTAATTCAGGAAAAGGGGAGATTAAAATGTATTTTGATCTACTAAGAATGTATTTTTCCTTGCAGAATTAGAGGTAGAATCTGACTCTTTTCCTTCAAAGTGAAACTGAGTAGAAACAGATTCACAAGGCGTAGGTAAATCACGAGAGCTTTAATATTGGTCCTATTTTCCCAAGACCAAATAAGTTGAAGAAAATAAGAATGGAGAGACTCTTACCCAATAAAAGATTATTATTTTTCACCAGTAGAGGCAGGTGGAAAACACAGTCTACAGAAAAATAAAGGTGGCATTATTCCTCCAATTTAAGGGTCCATTCAGAAACCGTATCAATTTTATCCTTTTCACAGAGAAAAGACTGCACATCATCAAGAAACTTCAATAGGATCAACAAACAGCACAAACCAAGAAGTGAAAGTATTAGTTGTCTACCAAAAGATACTCTCCTTTTATTCCTGCATGCAAGACTAAATGGAATATTCCAGCCTCCTTTTCATAGTGGACTTCTTTTCTCCACGGAATTTAATGTGATAGGTGTCCCTTATGGACCTAAGTCTTAGGACTATGTGTATGCTTCCATGTTATCTTTCCCCTTATCACCAGCTGGGATGGCAGCTGACCCTGTCTCTGCCATACAGAAGATGACAGTCCTGGAGGATAATACTGCAATCAATGGAAAGAACCTGAATTCCTGGATAACTTCATGGAGCAGAATTGAACCACTCAGTTCAGATTGTTATGTAAAGGACAAATCAAGTTCTATCTTCTTTAACTTACTGGATCCTCATTCCCTTTGTTACACTCTAATTCAGACTAATATTTCCTCTTAACTGAAACTGTCAAAGAAATACCATCATCAGTATTTCCTTTCATTATCCTTGATCAATATAGGCCTGGCTCCAACTGGGAGTGGCCAAACATTCATAATCTCCAAGTATAAGCAATCTTTGAAAATGCACAGCTAACAGGTATTCCTACCAATGTAGCCCAAACATGGTAGAACAGCAGTTGTACATAATCAGGTTTCATAATTCCACTTTATATAAAAATTTGGATATCTCTTACTGCTTAGGGGAAGTCTGGTGACCAACTTTTTAAAAAAATACTTATTAGAAAATAACATTTAGCATTTTAAAAAATCATCTAGATCTTTTTCAACAGGCAAATATACATAACCAGTCTAGATTTTTTATTTTATTTTAGGGTTCGCATGACATCTAGGTGAATTGCTTCCAAACTAATTGATATTTCAGGAAATGCCTAGCTTTTCTTTAATAGAGTAAAATGTCTTTTATTACCCAATTCAAGTTAGCTTGAGATAATATTCTGAGAAGTAAAAACAATTTGAATTTATATCCGGTTATAAATGATTGGTTTCAGAAGTTTATCTGAAAACAGTTTTTAGTAGAGGATAGAGTGAGAGAAAAAGTAAAAATGCGACAAGTATTTCTTCAGATGAAATGGTATAATTTATCTACTATTCAACTTTGTTAGGATTGGTTGGCTCCACTGCAAATGAAATAGTAGTAAAAAGAAAAGAAATCAGCAGATAGTTGAAATAGCCAAAGAAGGGAGCAACACAGCATTGTTAATGGGAGATCTGTGATTAAATCTACAGGCTAGAATTAGCTAAACATTGAGTATACATGGGCACAAAGAAGGGAACAACCAGTGCCTACTTGAGGGTGAGGTGAGAGGAGGAAGAAGGTCTGAAAACTACCTATCAGGTCCTATGCTTATTACCAGGGTGATGAAATAATCTGCACACCAAACCCCCATGATACACAATTTATCTGTATAACAACTCCATATATGTACCCCTAAACCTAAAAGATTAAAAAAAAAAAATCAGCTTTATATGGAGGCAGTTAACCACCATGTTTTTTCTAGAATTTATGTAAGGAGCTGTTTCTTCCTCTGAAATGTATCCCACTTGATCATCGATAGCTGAAATTATTTTGTTAAACTGACAATAATCCAGGATATTTAACATCTCTAAGTCAGTTTTCCCATCTGTAAAATAACAAAAAATAACACATACATTATAAATTCATTTTAGGGTGAAAGAAAATTATATATGTGGAGTGTCAACAAAATTCCTAGCACACATTGAGAAACTTTTTTTGTTTTTCTTTTTTTTCACTCTTTTAACATTACATAAAATGTAAAGATTTTCAGAGATCCACTCTACAGCTGGGTGTGGTGGTGCCCACCTGTAGTCCCAGTATTTGGGAATGAGACTGTAGTGCACTATGGTCATGCCTGTGAATAGCCACTGCACTCTACTAGGCAACACAACAAGTACTCACCTATTAGGTAAATAAACAAAGCTCTGAACCTACGTCTTTATAATCCCCTTATTACACACAGCTTTCTATTCACAATTATTTTCCTTTCAGTGAAATATTGGTATTATTATGTTTATCAAATATTTCCACGACTAATCTGAGTCAACTTTCTTATGGTAAGTATAATAAAGGAGATGCTTTTGAAACTATTAAACTTCAGAGCTGAAGGGAGTTAAAAACAAATCTGCAATTTCACTTTTTGCTTCTAAATTGGGCATTACCCTTAACCAATTAGAACAGATTAAACAGCAAGGATTTAAATCTCAGTTACTCTACCAAGCCCATCATCTTACAAAATTAACTACTTAAATGATGCATTTTAAGGACATTAGCTCCACAAAATTACAAGAGAATAAAATATTTTCTTATATTTTCTTAATGAACAGGAACATTTCATTAAGACAAAATATTGCCTTAATGAATAGGGACATGGAACATTAGGCAAAAGTAGACGTAGACTAGACTTTAATTATAAGCTGTGCCATATTTTATTTTAGCATTTTTAGGATTATCACTCTATTATTTTCTGGATTTCATTATTCATTTGAGAAGAAAGATAACACTCTTATTTTGCCTTTATTTGCTCCTTTGAAGGTAATATATATTGTTTTATTATCAGTTGGCTGTTTTTAAGGTTACTTTTTTTCATCTTTGGTTTTTGGAAGTTTTATTGTGATGTGACTACAGGTAGTTTTCTCTGCATTTATCCTACTTGGGGTTCTTAGCATTTCCTGTCTTCATATTTTTACTCAATTTTGGAAATTTATTCTGTATTATCTCTTTATTATTTCTGCCTCATCTTCTCTCTGATCTCTCTGCTTTGGATCAGATCCTTATCACCAACATAAATTGTTTCAACAGGCTTCTAACTGTCCTCCTGGCCTCTAGTCCTTAAATATATCTTCTTTACAAGATCATACTATTTTCACAATTAAAACATTCAGTGCCTGTAAGATAAAGTCCAGTGTCCTTAGTAGAGTGTGTCTACAACACCCTCCATGATATGACACCTAGAAATTATTTCAGCAGGCTGGGCACAGTGGCTCAGGCCTGTAATCCCAACACTTTGGGAGACCAAGGAGGGTAGATCACTTGAGGGCAGGAGTTCAAGACCAGCCTGGACAACATGGTGAAACCCCATCTCTACTAAAAATCAAAAAATCCAAAAATTAAAAATTAGCTGGGCATGGCAGCATGTGCCTGTACTCCCAGCTACTCTGGGGGGCTAAGCAGGATAATCGTTTGAACACAGGAGGCAGAGGTTGCAATGAGCCGAGTTAGCACCACTGTACTCCAGCCTGGATGACAGAGTGAGATTTGAGACTCCAAAAAAAAAAAAAAAAAAAAATCAGCAAAATGTGGCCCCACTGTTTCTAGTTCGTTACTTTAACCCTAAAACAACCTGCTGCTGCTTATAGTTCTGACTCAAATTCATACTAGGTCTTAGCAATACATCTTATCTCTCCTGACACAGCACTAAAATAAAAACATAAATGCACAAAAATATAATACATAACTAAAAAGAATGTAGAAAAGAACTTTTCAAAAAATGAGGAATAATAACAGATCTCTAACAACTGGAAAATGCAGAACAAACTACTAAATGGAATTAACAGTAAAGCAGTACCATATGACCCAGCCATCCCATTACTGGGTATATACCCAAAGGATTATAAATCATGCTGCTATAAAGACACATGCACACGTATGTTTATTGTGGCACTATTCACAATAGCAAAGACTTGGAATCAACCCAAATGTCCATCAGTGACAGACTGGATTAAGAAAATGTGGCACATATACACCATGGAATACTATGCAGCCATAAAAAAGGATGAGTTTGTGTCCTTTGTAGGGACATGGATGCAGCTGGAAACCATCATTCTCAGCAAACTATCGCAAGAACAGAAAACCAAACACCGCATGTTCTCACTCATAAGTGGGAACTGAGCAATGAGATCACTTGGACTCGGGAAGGGGAACATCACACACTGGGGCCTATCACGGGGAGGGGGAGGGGGGAGGGATTGCATTGGGAGTCATACCTGATGTAAATGACGAGTTGATGGATGCTGACGAGTTGATGGGTGCAGCACACCAACATGGCACAAGTATACATATGTAACAAACCTGCACGTTATGCACATGTACCCTAGAACTTAAAATATAATTTTAAAAAAAATCTAGAAAATAAAGTAGAGAACTCTGCTACGGTATAAAGCAGAAATGCAGAGTCAGAAAGCATGAGAGAACAGATGAAAGACCTATAGAAGTGGTATGGAGGCCCCACATTTGAGTAATAGAAATCCAAAAACAACGTGAATACAGAAAATGGAGAAGAAGAAATCAACAGAGAACTGATAGCATCAAATTCTTCCAAGTTGAAAGATAAGAGTATTTAAAGTGAAAAATGCCAAGTGGAATGATTATAGTAAAGACCTATACCCAGAGATAATCATAAAAGCTTCCAAGATTAAAAACAGGTTATCTAAAAACAAATGAGTTAGCCAGGTGGGCTCACACCTGTAGTTCCAGCTACTTGGGAGACTGAGATAGGAGGATCACTCGGGTCCAGGAGTTCGAGGCTGCAGTGGGCCATGATCACATCACCACTGCATTCCAGCCTAGGGGACAGAGTGAGACCCAGGTTCTAGGGAAAAAATAAAAAAAAATAAAAGAAAAGATTAGTTTAAATTTATCACCAACATTGAATGCTAAGAAAATAGACCAAAACCTTACAGTTTTTGAGAAAATATTTTTGACTCAAAAATTACATACCCAGTTCAATCACATGCATACAGATACACACGCATACACACACACACACACACACCAGAATAAAAGCATTTGCTAATATGATATATATTTACCACATACCCTTTAAAGAAAGGGTTCACAAGAAAAAAAAAAAAGGAGTAAGATAATAAAGAAAAGAAAGAAGAGGAGAGACAGGATTCTAAAAGGGTGGGTGGCACCCAGGAAAGCAATGAAGGATATTCCTGTACGGCAGTTCTAAAGAGTAACTGATTCGTATTACAGTAGAAGGATGGATGGTGTCAGGAGGAAGGCGTGTAAGAAAAGACCTCCATTTGAGAATCACAGGGAGAATGTGTGAAAAACGCAATGAAGACACGTTACCTCTTTAAAACAATAATGTGCTAATATAGTGAAGCCAAGAAAGACAGAGAGAAAGAAAGAAAAGTTGATGGCTAACCTAAAGAAAATAAAGGAAGAAAGTTGTATAAAAGGCTATGATACAAATGGAAAGAAATTAAATCTCTGGCACGGTTTTAAGTAATTGATAGTGAGAAAAGAGAATGTATTCTGTCATAGCACAATGCATGACTCAGCATAGTCATAAAAATGTAAATTTCCAGACTTAATTCATGGAGAAAGGGTGAAAGATTTGATTGCTGTTTAATTTCAAAGGACAAATTATAATAGTCTTAATAAAAATATGTTAGCTAATAAATGGTGGGAACTAAGGGAGGTAAAATAAAAGGTGGAGGAAAGAGTGGGGATGATAATATCTCATAATGTGTTAGTTTATTACTATTATCACAAAAGTAACCTGTGGAAGTAATGAAATGATAAATAACTCTAAACGACTCAAAATAAATATAATATAATTAGTATCATGAAGGAATCACAAAAAGAAATGCAAACGAAGTATTTAAAAGTCTAGCCTGGGCAACATGGCGAAACCCTATCTCTGCAATTTTTTTTAATCAACCAGGTATGGTGCACTGCACCTGTGGTCCCAGCTAATCAGGAGGTTGAGGTGGGAAGATCAATTGAGCCATGAGGTCGAAGCTGCAGTGAGCTGTGATCGCACCACTGCACTCCAACCTGGATGACAGAGTGAGACCCTGTCTCAAAAAAAAAAAAAAAGAAAAGAAAAGAAAAGAAAAAGAAAAGAAAAAAAGGTATTTAAAAGAGTTCACAGCCAGGAATCCAAATAGTTGTTGAAGAGAAA